CCTACCGGTCCGCTCGGGGAACAAGGAAACACGCAAAAAGTCGGTTAATGTGCATCGACTCGTTTTGTCTTGTCTCGGCGCGGCACGGCGTGGCGTGGCGCAGGTTGCGGCGCGCAAGGACGTTGGCTGGATCATCGCTAAAAGCGTCGCAACCGGTTCCTCGTGCTCGGGCACGAGTTATTCGATCGTTAATCGGCCACGAGAGATACACCGCGTCCTTTTCATATCCTCCGGCCATCAAACCCCGAGACGAATCGGTCCCCGAGGGAAACCGATTCCGCCTCCGGCACCCACCGCTCGCCGGCCGATCGATCCTGGGATCGAGACGAGAGCACGCACCCGTTCTTTTCCCACAGTTTCCATCGATCGAGAGAAAGAGAGAGAGAGAGAGCGAGAGAGAGAGAGAGATCTCGGTCGATTCTTCTCGGACGGCGAGATCGACGGACGGTCTGCGGCCATTTTATGGCACCGAACGCACTCGATATCTCGCGCGGCTTACGAAACTCGCGCGCGCGTTTAACGACGCGTGTTCCGCGAAACGACGGCCGTAACGGCGCGCGTTTGCGAAATACACCGTACAACGACCATAGATGTACATACACAGAAATCCGTGGCACGCGCGCGACCGGTCGTGCGCGAGCCTCGTGCCCACATCCAGGCTTGTTACGATTTCCATGGAGCGGCTTGTCGGACGCTGGACAAGGATCTCGGGTTGCGTCGGCAGGTGTAGGTCGGTTCCATTAACGCCGTCGTTACCTGCCGCGAATCGGATCGGATCGTTCGAGCGCGCCGCGGAAAGCGCGCTCGAAGAACCGATGAAAAACCCCGATGAAAGTTGACGCGTATCGGGAGCGCTGATACGCTTCGATGTGGCTCGGAATTTCGGAATCGACGGCGCTTCGACTCTACACTCTTTCGCAATGCTTTTCCTATTCGATCGGCGAGCGTATTGCCAAACCCGCGGATACTTTGTTGTTGTTGCCGGATGTCGCAACTGTTCCATCACGGCCAATTAACCGATTCGGTAGCCCAATACGCAACTGTTCGGTCACGCTCGGCCGATGATCCGGCTTCCGCCGCTTCCGAGGACGCGTCTCCTTCCTCAGCGAACGCTAACGAGCGATTTAAGCGAATGCTCGAAGAAATGCGGAGTCAGGGCGTTGTATTCAGTTTGCCTGGGAAATCGCGAGTCGCGAGATCCCGCAGAGTTTTGCAGAGAGAACGATCACCGAAGGTACGGGACCGCAGATAAGCGAAGATCGCAGCTACGTTCGCGAAAGCTCGTGCGAAGAGAGAAAGAGAAAGAGAGAGAGAGAGAGTATGGTCCCGTTGCGTCGGTGCCTCGGAAAGGTTGAGGCGAATCATGGTTTTATCTTACCCGGCTACAGGTAATAGACTTAATTTCGCGATAAGAATCGTTTGTTGCAACTGTACGCAGCAATTGAAATTCATTCGGTGTACCGGTACAGTGCCGTTTCGACTTGGCGCGATGCAGTCGCTGCTGCCTCGCGGCCATGGTCAGGTGCAGTTTAGCCGCGTTGCAGCGTCGAATCGGGAAGAGGTAACTTCGCCGGAACGAATTAATCAGATTTTCAGCCGAGGGGTCTTTCCGGGGGAGCTAACGAGTCGGTAACGAGAGACGGAGGGAGAGTTCGTCTCGGGTCCGAGCCGCGATTCGTCCTGAATTTCAAGGAGCTGCTCGGATCGTTCTCGCGAATTTCGCTACCGCGAGCGACTACTGCCTGCAACCGAGGCTCCCGAAATCTCGAAAGCTCGGCTCGACGAGGTAATTAACGCCTCTCCTCGGGCGGTAAGCGACCGGCGATCCGTTAGGCGACCGTTTTGTCGGCGATCTTTCGCTTTGCAGCTGCTGGCCTCTCTGCAAATAATATCGTTTAAGACGCCCACGCGAGCCGAACCGGTCGACCGCCTAACGAATCAATGTCGAACGAAGCTGGTAGATATACGCGAGCATAATTCTTGTCCCGGCCTACGCTGATCTCGATCCGGTAACTTCCGTCGCGGCGATTCACTCGAGGCGAGGCACCCGATCGATCTCGATCTCGATTCGTCATCGGCGATCATGACGCAACACGATTTCTTCCGACTCGTCGATCGGTCCCGAAACCTCCGCGCCAGTCTTGTCGTCGCGGCGCGAAAGAATCCGGCTGTCGTCGCTCGACCCGATATTAAAAATAGTAATTTAATAAACGCGCGATCTCGTTTCCAACGCGCGTCCATTCGGTTTTCTCGATTCTGCCGTTCCGTTACAAAACGTCGTCGGTTTTCAAAGTAGACGCGACTCTCGCTTCCGATTAATTGGACTGCGTTCGTTCGACCCACTTTTCGTTCGAGATATTATTCGATTAACAAGCCATTCTTCGAGAGAACCGTTGCGGTTCCGCGGAGGAGTTTCACGCTCGACCGCTTCGCAGTCGCAGTCGCCGAGAGAATACAAATAATTACGATCGTATCGATTGTTTCGTAGCGCAGGAAGAAAGGAGGTTTTCGTATACGCGTCGCTCTAACCCGCGGCGAGCAAAACGCGTGCGCGGTAGATCGCGATCGTCGGAGCAAAGACCTGGAAGAATGGATCGCTTTCGCAGGGAATTGGCTCAGTGGGTCGTAATTAGGAACGAATGATCGATGAAAGTTCGAGGGAGAGCGCAAGTGTCTTTTCATCCGTCGCGGCTCGAAGGAAAGTCGCGTCGCGTCGCGTCGCGATGCGATGTGATGCGATGTGATACGCTGCGCTGTGATGCGATGCGACGCGATGCGACGCGATGCGATGCGACGCGATGCGATGCGACGCGATGCGATGAGATGCGACGCGCTGTGCTGCGATGCGCTGTGCTGCGATGCGATGCACTGTGCTGCAATGCGCTGCGATGCGATGCGCTGTGATGCTATGCAATGCGATGCGATGCGACGCGACGCGATCTGACGCGGATCGCGGACCATGGACCACGGATCACGAATCGTGGATCCTCCGGCTTCCACCGAGACGTCGCCGCTTTCTAGCCTCGCGTGCGGTAATCGAACGTTTTACGCCGGCAATAAAACTTTTTGCCCGCAGAGCTGCCGCTTTCAAATTTATCGAATCGAACCCTCCTTCTGGTCCGCGCTCCTCTGCTCGTCGATATTGGCCGTTGAGCTGGAGCAAGCGAACCGGAACGAGCTCTTAACTCGCGAAAAAAGGAACGATCGACTTCTGCAGCACGTTGGCACACGGATCTTCGAGGTTGGGATATTCGCGTTCGCGGCGGCGATTAAAGCAATAGTAGCAGGTAATACGATCGCCCCGCTGTGCGTTGCGCGATATCGTTGGCACTTATCCGCGATACCAATTGAAATAATTACGCTTTTGGTACGCCGGCGATGCACTCCTCGTCGACTTGGTTTTACCACGAGAAGAATTGGTCCGTTTAATCGACGGGAGAAAACGGTATTAGAACCGAAGACCGCGAGTTTACCGCTAGCCAGAGCGAACGCGAAACGGGAGCAGGACGTCGATGGACCGAGACGCTCCCGTCGGATTTTCGAGAAACACGATGAGCATCGACTGTGTAAACAGCACGAAGGAAAGTCGCCGTTTAGCGAGAGACGCGTGCGAGTCGGTGTTTCCGTGTCCATTAGCGATAATCCGGCGGGCGAGAACGCTTCGCGATTCGTGTCGAACGCGCTCGTGTTCCTTTCGGAAGTTAATGGCTTTCTCGCCGAAGCGTGCGCGCGATATTCGCGGCGTCCAGCGGACAATCGAGTCGCACGGATCGTCGGTGACCTTGTCGCGAATCCGCTTCGAGGAGGAAAGCTCTCGTGGAGGACCAAGAGGAGCGTGCAGGACGCGTTGCAGATATCGATCGGGCGAGTTTCTCTGCCCCGGCTGGCAGCCGACGCGCCGCGCCGGTTAAGAAAAAACGGAAGCACGCTGCGTTAACAGAGCGCCCGGGCCCCGCCGATGCATTTCAGATCGGATGCCTCGATGACCCACTGGCGTGCCGATTTTCCACGCGAGCCTGATTAAGAAACTCGCACGAGACCGCTTTGAAATGCTTTCGTTGCTCTCTCGCCCGCCGCGCGTCGATCGCCGATTGTCACACGTTCCTCGCGATTTTATCCGGATCCTGCGACCGTGACCGACAAGAAACACACGGGAGACCATTGTTCGCCGGAGCCAATATCCGTTATCTCGCGAACTTTGATTATTCGAAGGGAACGGCGATAACCCGCGCACCTGGAGCATCTGTTTTGTAGGCGTTGCATTCGCAGTCCACGAATGTTCGCATTCCTAAACGTGCCACGAATGCGCGCTTAATTTCGTATAAACAAAGCGAAAAAGACGACGCGCGCAGCATGAAAGTATGCATTAGGAAGATAATTTCTGCGTCGTTGAATAACATCGAGCGCAAAGGGCGAATAAAAATCGACGCGACGCTGTATGCGGCAATAAATCTCGTCGCTTCGAAAGCTTTCAGCATCAAACTCGAACAATCGACGCGCCTACCTCCGTTCAATACATTCGCGATCGATCCTCGGCGAAGCATTTCGAGATCGTCGAACAGGTCCAGGCCGCGGACGATTAACATGTGCGGCGGGCGACGGTAGCCGTCGGGATCGAAGCGCATGCTAAGCAGGAGGAACGCTATAGAAACGATCGGACACTGTGCACATATTTGCCAGCGTGCCGTGTAGTTGGCCGCTGGAGGACGATAATGTTGAAACTTTTCGTGGATACCGTGCATCGCCGGTGAAACTCCGCTCGTTCGAAGGAGACGCGGGCGTTCGAGATTAAACGACGTCGACGCCGGTCTCCGTTGTCTTGTTATCGTGAAATCATCGTACGGTGAAAACCGCGCTGGAAATCGCGCGCGGCTTGTTTCACCGTGAAAACGTAATCGGAGTTTCACGGAGCGCGTCGATCGACCGCTCTAACGAACCTTCGCTCCGGTTCCGATTTCGGAGCGTCTCCTAATGATCGGTCCGCTTTCGATTTGTTGCAGATCAAGCTGGAACGCGTGCTCGGCGTTACCGTCTCCAGCAATGCGGCCCTGGACTGCGACGCGACCAGCGAGCTGGTCGCCTATCCTGCTGGGTGAGTTGTAAACACCGGTCTCTCGATTTTCCGAGATCGATGGATCGAGATCCTTCGCCCGACGCCTTATCGGTCCGAACTTTCTCGCGACTTTTCCCTTTGCCCGAAGCGCGCGCTTCGACCCGCGAAACGGCGGCAAAAGCCGGCGATGCGAGCTCCGATCGGAGACCGGGTCCTCCAAACAAAAAATCGGACTCGAGCGAAACGTCTTCGGTGTTTAAAAACGCGGAGCGATCGCCTCGGTTCACTCGGTTTCGCGGCCTCGTACTCCGGAACGCGAGATCATCCAGCGAACAACGTCTGCCTATCGATCGCAAGATCGCGGTAATTGCCGAGTAGCAGCGAGACGAGAAAAAAAGCCGTCGCGTCATCTACCCGGTCGGCGTCCCTCGACAAGAAACCTCGTTAGACCAGATTTTTCCACGGCGGAGTTACGCGCGCGAGATAATCGCGCGTATCGCCGGCGCGCGATACACGCGACAGCCGTTACTCAGCGATAATCGGGAACAGAAGTTGCTAAGTTTATTCCTCGGAGAGGCTAATTCTTGTTTATCGAGTTTACGGCGAAGACGAGGCTCGAAAGTTCTTCTTGCCGGCAGGATCGTTAGGTTGTCCGGTAGCTTGTTACCGGAGTTGCTCGGAGTAAAATTTCAAAGATTATAGTCCACTCGTTTGTTGCACAAGATCCTTCTCTCTCGCTCTTTCTCTCCGTCTCGCTCGCGCGTCGGCCATTCGTCTTGCTACTTTTAAGTGGCTCTTATTAAAATGCCGGCGAACTATTACGCCGAAGACAGGGACGAGTCTTCTCTCAATCTCCGAGGGAATAGCTTTAGTATTCCTCGGTGTTGTCCTATTTGCAACGGCGCCGCTGCGATTTTTTTTTGGTTCCGCGGGCTGCTAAACGCGAAACGGCTGCTTCGATCGTAATTAGAACAGAGACGGAGAACGGCGGCGTTACGGCACGAATCGTATTACAAATCTGCCGGAGTTAAAGGCCGGCCGATATTCGTGGGAACGGCCGAAGCAACGGAGAGGAGAGACGAGACTTTGCATAACGCGGCACACGGAAGCGAGACTTTATCTCGATCCGATCGCGATCCCTCGATACCGAGACCCGGCACCGACACTCGTCGAACGTCTCCGCAGAGCCGAACGAGTCTCTTCATCCGATATCGTAAAATGCCGTCAAGATAATAGACGCCGCGTAGAACAGAAGCAGAAGCTGTAGAACCGCTTCTGGTGTTGCCGTCGTCGAGCCCGTAAGAATGCTTCCGCGGGGGAAATTTGCTCGGCGAAATAACATTTCGCCGTGTCGATTTTCCGATTTTCTCGGGAATCAAATTTTCTTTCTCGTTGATATTCCGTTTGGCCGACTTTCCGCCGAAGCGAACGCTATGAGGCGGATAATGACGCGCGTCGAGTCGCCGACAAGATGGCGGCTCGCGACGGCCGTGAAAGAAAGTTCGGCTTCGTTAGCGCGCGCGCGCGCGCGGAATACTCGCGCGAGCAGCTCGCGAGGAGCTGGCCAGGAGGGAAGAAAAATGCCCGGCGCGATTCTCTCGGTCACGGATAAACGCGGACGGCACAAAAGGAGCCTCTCGCGGCTCGTTTCTCGTTCGGCCGCGTGAATGGAAGAATGGCGAAAGTGCGATCAAGAGATTATGCGCCGGTTTATCGCGTACTCCGTGCCGAGGGAACCGTTTCGTTCGAGTCGCGTTATTCTCCCTTCCACCTTGTCGCGCCTTGCTTCGTCGCCAATTACAAAGCCGTGGACAAAGCATTCGAGACGGCGGAACAATGAAGCTTGGACGGCAAGATCGGCCGTAGCTGCCGTCGGAGGCGTCCTTCAACGGAGAACCGTTCTGCAGATTCCAATTTTCTCGGCTCGTTTCGCAGGGATCGGAAACGAAGGCGCGCTCGAAAAGCAGAAAATTCGTCACGGTAAAAGCGAGACAACGACGAGCGTAAAAATACGCGAACGCTCGTAGACGCGCGGTCTGTCGGCGTTGTTTCGCGCAGTCCAGTTTTTCGTAGACGGCGAGCAACTATGTGCGCACGGTGCTCGAACAGGAAATCGGGTCAAGAGAAAGGTGAATGGACTAAAAGATTCCGTGTCGGAGATCCGCCTCGATTCTTAGGTATCGACGACAATTAATCCGGCCCTATCGATCGCGGCGACCCCGCGTTTCCTCCGCGACGCTCGCCTCTTAGATTCTGGATCTCGCGAGCTTAACGGCATCGGAATTATCGCGGAGCCCCGCGCAACGGCCGATAATTCCATGGAACGTGGAAGGAACGGGCCTCTGGTCGGGGTGCGCTCGCGTACACGCGCGTTTACGCGTGCGTGAACAAGCTGAACGGGTTCGAAAGTAGCCGGGCAGAGTCGCGTGCGCTCAGGTTTTCCTCGGGGCCCGGTTACGGCTCTGTTACTTCAGGCCGACTTATGTCTTCTTATGTCATCGCTTTTAGGAACATTCTTTCGAACCGCGCCGTGTCCGCTTTCCATTCGATCCGGCTCGCGTTTCCGCGGGACACCATTCACGCCGAGCCCGGGTTTGCCATTCAATGGAAACCGGCAAAGCGGCAAAGAGAAGCAGAGTGGATTCGCGTGGCGCGTTATGCAACCGACCGCGTAAACTGCGAACGCTCCTCGAGAGGACCGCGCTCTAACCGCCTTCTTTCGTTACATCTTGGATCCGATGTCTCCGCGGCAGAGCGCGGCTTTTACTCCGCGGAGCACTGCCCTTGGCTTCGCGGAACGGAAAACGTCCGAGTTCTACGCCACGCTTTTCAAAAATTTCGATTTTAATCGTCTCGCGCGATCCCGACGACGGCATTCGTCGCGAAGATCGAATCGTTTCGCGTCTAATTAGTCGCCGCGCTCTGCCGCGATGTACTATTATAATTCACGAGGCGGATTATCGACGTCGGAGACGATTTTCGATTGCACAGAGGCGTCGAGAGTATCTGGAACTCGGCGTCGTTGGCGATGCCGCGCGAATCATCCCTGTCACGGACCGGCTAATTGCGTGCCGAGCAATTATCGCTGGCTCGCGACGTCGCACCGTGCTCGTCGAACGTTCCGGCTCGGCTCCGATCGCCGTTCAGGGCTTCAATATTATTTAGCAAGCGCGTTTTCAAGAGGCATCGCCTTTGTCGCAGGACATCGTCGACGCGACGCGACGACACGATTCCGAGGATGGAAAGTGCTCGACATTGCGTGTGCGCCGTGTTACGAGCGACGGAGGAAAGTTCCGCTTTCCCGGTTTCTCGATCTACTCTGTTTCCCAGTTGCACAGGCTCCGGATGCGCCGGGCACAATCGAGAGGGGACGATCGAGCGGTAAACGATCGTCCGTTAATCGGCGGAGAAAACGCGCGGACGAGCGCGATCGCAAAAGCGCGCGGCTCTCTTGCGATTTCACCGTCGCGAGCAGAAGCTCTATTAGCTTCGCGTCTCCGACGTTTCGCATCTGGGACAGACGGGAAATCGAGCGCCGCGGTTTCGTCACTTTCGATCGCGTCGTTCGCGGGACGATCCGCGCGCGGAATCATTTACAGTCGACTGGAAATTGCTTAAAGACCCGGCGCGGTCCGACGATAAGGCTGGCACCAGGAGGACGGTCTAGACAAATGGATGCCGCTGCAGTTGCATGGACCGACCCGGAGGTCGACAGGTTTAGGTGCGCCTGTTGCAACACGGTCGAGCGAGTATCGGGCCGTTTAGGAGATAAAACAACCGCTGGGTACGGAGTCGTCGACCGAGAACTCGAGACACCGTTTAGCGAGCCCGCCTGCGTTGCGGTGGCGAGATTAGAATCTCGCGATATGCAACGAGCCGACCACGCCGATGGAAATTGAGGGAGTCGTGACCGAAGAACCGGCCGCGAGTCGCCGCGATCTCACGGGATCCGAAGAAATTCGTCGCCGCGAGATCGCGCTGGCTCGTTCCGCTCGATTCGGCAGCTTCCAGCAAAGTTTCTCGTCCACCGTATCGCGGTTGAAAAGCGCAAACGATTCCGGGAAAAGCGGGAACGAAGCGTTTCGGTCTCGGAAGCCATTGTCGGACCGGTGCATCGTCGAAGCATTCGCAGTTTCCGCTTTCATCGGATCCCGGTGGGTCGCGCTTTGTCCGCGAGTTTGTTGCGAGCGAGTTTTCCGGCTTCGCCGAGCAAAACGCCGTCCGTCTCCGAAAGCATCGTTGAAGCATCGCGAGCCTCGCGTTTCCACGGGCAAGTTGTTCCATTTGAACGGCACTGCAACGCCGACGAGGTCGAGTGGCACACATCGGCAACCGATTCGATCCCTCGCTCGTCCGCGCGCACGCGAAAAACCTCCGAGCGTTTCATTTCACGCTAATTACGCGATGCTCGCTCGAGCGTTCTCCCATCCGCGCGGCCCAAAATCGAGATTGGACTTTCCTCCAAGGCCACCGGAAGAGATCCAGGCCGTGGTTTTCCTCGACGAATCCTACCGCCGTCTTCGCGCCTTCGTTGAGAACAATCTACCGGATGCTCCGCTAATTGTGCCTGAACGCGGACGATCCGCGGTACGTTTCGCTAAAACGGTGAAAGTGACCTTCGTGTCTCTTCTGTGTAACACGGCCCTTTCCCGGAGTCGTCCGACAGCTTTTGTCTCGGGCAACTCGAGCGACCGCGTATAAATTCGGCGCGGAAATGCCGAAAGATGCTCTCACGATTCTTCCGAACGATTACCGCGAAGAAAGTACAATAAATTCTCCTTAATTCGCGCTCAGATTGTGCACAAAAATGGACGATTCGGGAGGAGTCTTGCGGCTCATTTCTATTGTTGGCAATCGGTAACTAGAAAAAGGAGACGCGCGGCTCGAATAATCGTATCTCCTCTTCCCAAATTGTCAATTTCTGTGCACAATCTGAGCGCCGAATTCGGGAGAATATTTGCGGAAAAATTAGAGCATCGGTAATTGGAAGAGTAGCAGTCGGAAGACTTTTCTCGCGCGAAGAGGACGCGAATTCAACG